ACTGTCACACTTCCAAGGCACAGTTAAACAATAATGTGAATCTTGCGTGAATCTGCACTAGTAGCTATCTATTTTCCTCTCCTGTCGCACCAACCCTGCAAGTGCTGAACACTCTCAACTGCCTTTGACACCACTGGCAGTGGAGACTCTCAGTATTTTGCAGGATCAGGCTCTATGACAACGGTGGGCAAACTTTTTGGCCTGAGGGCCGCATCGGGTTTTGTAAATTGTATGGAGGGCCAGTTAGGGGAGGGGGTCGTGGCCCGGCCCCCACCTCCTATCTGCCCCCCTCCCCGGGACTCCTGCCCCATCCAACCCTCCCTGTTCCCTGATGGCCCCACCGGGACCCTTGCCTCATCCACATACTCCCACTCCCTGTCCTCTGACCACCCCCGGATCCCCGCCGCCCCATCCAACCCCTCTCATTCCTGACGCCCCCCGCCCGGGACCCTGCCCCATCCAACCAGCCCTTCTCCCTGTCCCGTGACTGCCCCCGGAATCCCTGCCCCTGACTGCCCCCTGCTCCCCCATCCAACCCCCCTCTGTCCTCATTCAATCCCCTGTTCCCTCCCCCTGACCGCCGCGACCTCATCCACATCCCTGCCCCTGACCACCACCCCGAACTCCCCTGCCCTCTATCCAACCCCCCCTGCTCCCTTACCGCGCTGCCTGGAGCACCGGTGGCTGACGGCACTACAGCCACGCCACCTGGCTGGAGCCGGGCCACAACGCTGCTGCCACTGCACTGCCACCACACAGCACAGAGACCGGGTCAGGCCGGGCTCTGCAGCTGTGCTGCCCCAGGAGCTCACAGCCCCGCTGTCCAGAGCATTGCGCCAGCGGCGGAGCGAGCGAGCTGAGTCTGCAGGGGAGGGGGACAGCAGGAGAGGGGCTGGGGGCTAGCCTCCCGGGCCAGGAGCTCAGGGGCCGGGCAGGACGGTCCCATGGGCCATAGTTTGCCCACCTCTGCTCTATGACATTTCCATGGGATCAGAAACAGTTCTCCTATATGACACATTAGGCACTGCTGGTCTATTTCCTGTAGTTTGCTGAGTTTTCCAGCACAGCTAAGGAATTTCTGCACATTTTACAGAGCCCTCACGTATCGATGTCACCACAACAACAGTTCCCAGACTTCAAAACTGCTAGTTCAACAGTGATGGTTAATCCCAGGGCAGATGAATTCTAAAAATGCCTTTTTTAGGAAGTTTAGTCCATTACTTTTAGCTCCCTGGATGCAGCAGACAAATGTTTAACCAACAAAGAATTCTCTGGGTTGGCAGGAAAGTAGTAAAATACATGGAAACCAAACCAGAAACGGAGGCGTTGAGCTCAGGGAAGCTTTGCATGCTGCTGGCTGTCCACAACAAAGCTGCAGCTTCAGAGGCACATTGGGCGTCTTTTTCAATGTAATGGGGCATGTTAATTTTCTTCCCGAGGGGTCACAGGCCAGTGCTGATTCTAGGTCACCAAGGGGATTGCTTATAGCATTTCAAACCACAGCAAGTTTAGATCGAGGAATACTGTTAGCCTGGTTCAGAACACACAGCCAAGTGCTCTGAGTAACACTATCTGGCCCAGGTAAAGAGCGGGGTGGGGGGGTAAGACAACATGCAATAACACTCCGAAGAGGTCACCTACAGGGTACTTACTGCAATGGAGAGCCTCACTCTGGATTACTGCAATTCATTTCCAATCTTTGGCAATAAGGAGGAGGATTAGAGCTGTAAAAGCTATTAGGTCAAAATTATCCTACAGTACTGTGAGTCAGATTCTAAACATTAATGCTTGAAGACTTATTAGATGTGCTATAAACTACATTTGTGACGGCAACTATAGGAGACCCACTCACTATGAACCAAATGGCATCTTAGAAATGTGGCTCCTGGTTCTGTGTAAGGATCAGAACAGAGTTATCAGTGCTGGAGTCTACTATGCAGTCTCACAGTAAAAAGGAGATAAACTTTTCTAAGTAGCTGAAAATCTACATTGAAAGGAAAAGCACTTACCAATATTAATCTCGTCATCGGTTAGTGTGTCCCCAATAAAGTCAAACTGAAAGGACTGTAGAGTCTGAGAGAATTTCTGCACGGCAGAAGAGTAACCTGGAAAAGGAAGAATTGAAGGTTGAATGTTTATGTAATTGATACATAGGGGTGGTGGGTAAAGTTTTAGGAAATAAATGTTGGAAGAGGAGATTTACAGTGGAGGGTTAAAAAAACCCAGAACAGATCTCTGTGCACTCCATGGATTTCAAGCTCTCTTGAAAAATAAAAAAGGTAAATGTGTATTTTATGTGCTGATATTAGGGAATACATGTTCAAAGGGTCTCTGAAAGTACACCTGCAATATTGGCAGATGCAACAAATTCCACAAGCAATTGATCATATGTGTCTATATATCCTGGTGATGAGTGTAGGAATAGTTTTCATCTGCAGAAACGTGCAATCTCAAATATACTATTCACCATTTTGGAATAGGTGTCAGAGAATTTGACACTATGAATATTGTTTATGGGGACCAAGAGAGGTTAGCCATTTGTGGATGGCATGTTGGACCTTTTCTCTCCATCCCCTGCAAATAAACAAAACATAAGTTGAGCATTACAGGTCAGATCTTCAGCTAGTGTAGATCAGTGTAGCTCTGTTCAAATCAGTGGAGTTATTCTGATTTACATCAGCTGAGGATTTGCCCATACCAAGAGCCAAATTTGTAATCCAGGGCATACCTCAAAATAAGCCTCAAGTTTGCTCAAGACATGCTATCAAACACTGAAGCACTACCCATCCTGATGTTTTAAACCAAGACTTTCAAAAATATAAGTTAGGATACTTATATAGCTGTGTTATTTTCCAAAGTACTGAGCACCCAACAGCTCCCACTGGAGCGAACAGATACTCAGCACTTTTCAAAATCAGGTAACTTAGGCCATGTCTACTCTACCACTTAGGTCGGCAAAACGTATGTTGCTCAGGGGCGAAAAAAACACCCTCAAGCGACATACGTTTCACCGGTATAAGTGGTAGTGTACACAGTGCTGTATTGCCAGGAGAGCTGCTACCGCCACTCACTGGGGATGGTTTAATTATGTTAACAGGAGAGCTCGCTCCCATCAGCATGGAGCAGCTACATGAGAGACCTTACAGCGGCGCAGCTGCATTGGTACAGCTCTGCCGCTGTAAGGTATCTAGTGTAGACATCATGTAGACAAACCCTTAAGCTTGACTAAGGCAAACATTTAGCTTGCAGCAAGCTGGAGAGTGAATCTACCCCACACTAGCCCCATGAATCCTGCTGATATGTATTAACAGTTCATTAACGTACTTTGATCCTAACTACTTGTTAATGAAGATCAGCAGGTGCACACGGACAGTTAGTTCATGACAGGCTAGTGCAGAATAGATTCATACCCCAGTTTGCCATAAACTAACTGTTTGTGTAGACAAGCCCTAAGTTTAGGCTCCTATATGTGAAAATTGTTGCCATATACTTAAGATAGTATTTGCATGTTTTGTATTTTGATGAGAAGAAGAAAATGAATAGAACAAATGCTTTGGGGCAGATGGATGCATTATTGTGAGGACATATATATTGCCATTTGGGGCAGTATTTCCACAAGTTTGCCCACTTGGAAAATAAAATAGAAAATCACCTTTCAAAATGATCGCTGCTTTCTCAGGGCAACACAAACACATAAACAAACAGTTCTATAAACAAGCAAGGTAGTGAAACAGCTGGGCTTGATAAGGCAGGGGTTCTCTTGTACTCTGCAGAGCACTTCCAGGTAGTCCTTGGATCTGTTTCTGTCCCAGTGATGAAGAAACTGCTAGTTTTTAAGCAAAGATGCTTCCTGATGGCAGTTGGTAGCCTGGTCCAGAACTATTTTTAGGCTTTCCAGAGAGGTTTCTGCCCAAGAGAATCCTTTCTCTGTATCTCGTGTGGCTGCTTTGTGTCTTTGTCAGCTACACCGTTGCTTTAAACTCAACTGATCACATCTGCAGAGGAACTTGTAGGGCGGGAACAAACACTCAGAGGAACAAATCGAAACTGCAAAGTTACCTGGCAAGATTAGAGCAGTGGAGGCCACAGGTACCATTCAGTCTAAAGAAATAGCAAGTCCTGCACCCTGGAAGAATCAGCAACACAGATATGGAGATGGCGGGAGTAACCAAGCAGTTGCATAGTCAAGTGACTTTATTTTTACCTAGTCTCCTTAATATTGTCCTAAAATGAGTCCATGTAGTGAAGACACAGAGAAGGCATGGGATCAGGATTGGAAGGACGGGAAGGGACTTGGTCCATAAGAAGATCTTAAAAGTGTTTCACAGTATAAAAGAGTTTGAAACCAATGTGATGAACCAAATCAAGCTAATATTCATGTGTAGAGCAGCATGTGTTGTTTATGTTTTGTGGTCCCCCTGTAAGAACAAGCACATGGGATAACAGAATGAAAGGGTCCGAGCTTGCGTGTGCCACAAGGGATGTGACGTAGACAGCAAAGCAGAACTGAGCCCAAACAACAAAGTTTGCTTCTTGATTTACATCAGAATTTTCCTGAAATTCAGGAAGGGGCTATAGTCAGAGTTTCAGGCTGGAACCATTATAGGTTCTGAGTTCTGAGGCACAGAGTTCAAATCTGTATTAGAACCTTATCCAAAGGCTAACAATTGTGTGAGCACAAGGGCAGGACATAAGGATCCAGTTCATGCCCTACTGTATAATACGAGAAGGGATTCTTCTTATAAGATGGCCAACCGTCTGGGTACAGGTAGGGCCAGATTTTCAATCCAACCTTAATTAGGCCTCCATTTTTGAGAGTGCAATTTTCCTCTCCAAGTTTAGGCCACTTAGGGTATGTCTACACTGCAACATAAACCCAAGCTTGAGCCCGGGCTCAAGCCTAACCCCTCCTTGCGTCTACACTGCAATTTCACTAACAAAGGGCTTGGAACCAGGGCCCCAGGACCGTGCAGGGTAGGGTGACCAGACGTCCCGATTTTATCGGGACCGTCCCGATATTTCCTTGTTTGTCCCGCGTCCCGACCGACGTGCGGTCGGGACAACCGGACAAACAAGGAAATGCCCCGAGCCTCGAGCCCGGAAGTGCTCGCG